AGGGACCGGGTGGCAGGGTGGAGGTGACCTGGGGAATCCTCGGCGCTGCAGCCAAGAGGGACTTGGCCCCAAACCCGGAATAACGTGGCAGTGGCGCTGACGGGAGGGAGGCAGGGAGGGAGGCCCAGAGCAGACACGGGGAGGCCGGCCTTCCCGCCGGCAGGATTTATGGGAGCTGCGGGCTCCACACAGTTCCTCTTGAGAGTAAAAGTGAAAAAGAGCTTGAGTCACCGCCGAGCCTGGCCCAGGGCTCCCAGAATGCCCCAGGGCCGCCAGCACCCGCTCCCCCCCTCAGCAGGCAGGGCCTGGGTGGCACAGAGCGGGCTGGCACTGAGGCGCCCCCCCACCCTCCACCAGCCTCGGCTCCCGAGAAGGATCCGGGTCGGATCAGCTAAAAGGGAGCTATTTTCGGTTGGGCTCAGGTTGTAAAATTAGCTGGGAAAAGGGGGGAGAGGGAGGCCCAGAGACAGAGAGAGACAGAGAGAGAGGAGTAAGGAGAGACATGCAGAGACAGGGAGAGAGGGGGCAAGGGGAGACACGCAGAGACAGAGAGAGGGGGAAAGGGACGGAGAGACAGAGATGAAGAGACAGACAGACATATGGGAGAGACACACAGAGACAGAGAGGAAGGGGGCAGAGAGACAGACAGAGAAACAGAGAGACAGAGACACATCGGAGAGACATACAAAGAGGGCAAAGGCAGGGAGAGACGGAGAGACAGAGACACATCAGAGAGACATGCAGAGACAAAGAGAGGAGAAAGGGATGGTGAGATAGACATGAAGAGATAGAGACAGAGGGAGAGACTGAGACATCAGAGACAGAGGATGAGAAAGAGAGACAGAAAGAGACCAACAGTGACTGGGAGTGAAACACAGGCGGGGAGAAACACAGCTGGAGAGACAGGGAGAAACAGAGACACAGAGAGAGTGTCAGAGCGAGACAGAGAGAAAGATAGAGATATAGACAGACGAAAATAGACCAAGATGAGAGAAACGAGGGGATGTGATTTGGGAAACTGAGTCAGGCAGCCAGGACTTGGGTGGGAGGGTCCTGCATGGGACACTCAGGGTCCTTCTGAGTCCCTCAGCCCACCCCGCTGGCTACCCCAGACCAGGCTGGGCCTTGGGGGAGCAGTGGGGATTACATTCAGGCTGAAGAGAAACCCAAAAGGGGGTCCCCAGCTCCACTCTGGGGCTGGGGTGGAGGGAGGGGCAGAGAGGAGAATTGCAGGAGAGGAGGGAGCCCCCTGCACTTGGGACTCGCTGTCCCCACCCTGGCCTGGGAGCTCTCTGCCTCTGTCCGCCCCTCTCTGTCTTCTCATCTCCGTCTCCTACACGCAGCAACCAACCCTGGATAGTTCTTAGTTTTTAGCCTCTCCGTTTTTCGGTTTCCACAGACAGCCCTCCTGGCTGGTCCTCGCCCTGTTCCTGGAGAAACTGAGGCCGAGTTAGCAATTCTCTGAAGCAACGCCTGGACTGGGGTTCTCACTACCCCCAACCCCAGCAACCAGGATGGTTCCCAACCAGCCCTGATGGGGGAATTCCAGGGTGCCCAGGCAGCCTTCCAACCGCCCCAGCCTGGGAACAGCCTCCCCTCCGCTCAGCCCTCCCATGGCTCCTTCCAGCTGGCGAGGACAAAGCGGGGACACCTCAGTCTCCCCATAAGCCCAGAGACTTCAAAGCCTGCCCAAGGTCACACAGCGTGCCCACTCAACCCTGGTTGTTCTTGGAGAGCTTCAAAGAGATGCCTTCTTCGGGAACCCCTCCCCAAAGCTGCTCAGAAAGGGAAACTGAGGCTGGGAGAGGGACAGGGACTTACCCAAGGTCACTCAGGGGATCATAGGTAGGACAGGCCTCAGACCCCCTCATCACCAGCCCCCACATTCCCTGTCGGCTGCAGGGGGCCAGTGAGAAAGATCCTACCAAGGGCCATGCCTGGCGCGGGGGGATCCCTCACTGCGCCATGCCCTGGGGCGGAAGCCGGGCACTCACATACTCCCCACACAGTGCTCCTTAAGACTGGCCTGGCCCTCGCTGGAATCGCACTCCCCACATGCCCGGACTTTACAGTTTGCCCGCCATACTGGCCCTCTCTCCAGAACCAGCCTTAGCCGCACGTCACTTCAGGGGAAACTGAGGCCAGAACCTCTCCAGCCTAAAGACACACAGCATAAGGAGGAAAGCAGCAATCTAGAAAACGGAACCTGCAGACCTCGGGGTCCCCGGGGAGTCTGGGGCTGGAAGGAGTTGGGGGGGCCGCCCCCTCCCCATACACCCCCTCAGCCATTGCACAAGGCTGGGCCCCGGGGCAGTCTGGGAGTGCGGCCAGGGGTGAGAGGCTACGGGAGGGGGAGGGGGCAGGGGCAGGTGCCGGGCTGGCGAGGGCGTCCGCAGCGCCGCAGTGCCCGGGCCAGACCCGGAGCGCCGGGCCTCCCGCTCCTCCCGGCGGCGGCTACAGAATCCAGAATCGATGCAGCGAAAATATCGGGATGGTGCGGGGGGTGGGGGGGTTGCAAAGCGGGGGACCGGAGCCGGGCCGCCAGAGCACCCTTCCCCCTCCTGGGCCTCCAACTTCTCGTGCCCCCTCCCCCTCCACGCACACGTGGGCCAATAACGGGGGAAAGGCGGCCCAGGGCCAGGGCGGCCCGTACAACCTTGGTGGGGGGACATGGGGGAGACTCATGAGAGGTCCCCTTCTCTCCAGCTGGGGAAACCCAGGGTCCAAGCATGACCCCCTAGATTCCTCTCAGAAGCAGGCGAGGGGCTTCCCGCAGAGCCCTTGCTGGAGGGGGACCAGCCCCCACCCCGACCTTTCCGAGTGTCAGGGGGGAGTACGTCGGAGTAGGGGGGAGCGCAAATCTGCAGACCAAGCCCCCACATCCGGGAGAGGTCCCGAGAGTCGAGGGTGGGGAGGTTGGGCGGGAGTCCCGCGTAGGGGGTTCAGGGTAGGTAGGGGTGTGTGTGGGGGTCCCTCAGCCTGACCCTCCCCCCACCGGACCCCAGCCCTATGCGCCGGGGGGCATCCCGGGCAGGGATGGCGGGAGGGACGCGCGCCTTTTTCGTCCCGCCTCCTCCGGCTTCAAAACTCCGGGGCTGGGATGTGGGGGGCGCGGGGCCCAGGGCGCGGGGGGCGCGGGCGGGGGCCCGGGCGAGGACCGTACCTGGGTGAGGCAGAGCGGGGACGAATACATCCCGGGCGCGGCGGGAGGCGCAGGGCCGGCCGGAGCGGGCGCGCTGAAGTTACTGAGTCATTTTTCCAAACCACCCCCCCCCGCCCCCCCTCCCGCGGCCGGCGCGCTCTCCTCGCCGCCTCCTCCCTCGGTCTCCCTCCTCCTCCCTCCCGCTCTCCCTCTCTCGCACCGCCCGCCTCGCTCGCTGTCCCTCTCTCCCTCTGTCTCTCTCGGTGTCTCTCTCTTCCTCTCTCCCCCGTCTCTGTCTCTCTCTCTCTCTCTCCACCCTCTGACACCCTCCCCCTCCCTCCTCCATTTCTCTCCCCCCCCCCCCCCCATTTATCTCCCCTCCCACCCCGAACCTCCCACTTCTCAACACCCAACTTTCAAAGAAACGAGGGAAAAAAGGGCGCGAGCGAGAAAGGAGAGCCTCCCCCGACGTCTCAGGACCCCCCACTCCCGTATTTACGCAGTGCCCAGGGGCACTAGACCGGACCCCGGGACTGCAGGGCGACCCCACTCGGATCAAGCGGAGAGAGGGTACTGAGCTGTTTCTGGACATTGAAGGGCCAGAGGTGGATTTTTAAGGCCCCCCCTCCCCACCCCCCCATCACCCCCGAGCTGGCCGGGAAGTTGAAGGAACGAGCCAGGGGGGAGGGAAGGAATGAAGAAGTGACGTGCGCAGAGGCCGGCCAGCGCGCCTCTTTCCCCTTAAAGATGTACGACTCTGGGTGCACAGTGAGCTGCTGGTCCCACAGCACCCTCGCTCCCTTCTCCCTTCAGAGCCAGGCAGGGGCTGCGGGTTCCCAGCTAGAGGGGTTTGTGTGCAGCTTTCCCTTCCTTGGCGAGAAGGGCCCAGGATAACACAGGAGGCTCCAGAATTTGCTCTCTTCAGCACCCAAGGGGCAGGGGCGGGGTGGCCTCGCCTTCGTATCTCTCCAGCACCCCAGGAGGACGGAGTCCAGGCGGATTCTCCAGCTGGCCAGATAAACCCTTGCAGCCTCCCCCTGGGTATCCAATAATTTCCACCTGCCTCAGGGGTGTGCCCTTTTCACAGATCTCAAGACTGAGGTATGGCGAGGGGGGCTTGGAGCCAGGCCATCTGGCCCCGGAGCCCACATTCTGTTCTCCTTCTAGGATAACAGGGCAGAGACCTGGCCTGCCTCGCTCTGAGCCCCCAGGGCATCTGATGACAGGGCCCTAACCCTCCCCCGGTTCACTCCCTGGATCCTCCCAGGCTTGTTCAGAGGTTGCTGTGTCTCTCATTCCCACCCCAAGGGTTCTCTCCCCTATAAAGTGGCTTACAGGTGCCCATCCTGTAAGACTGCTGGGGATAGGGACAATGACCTTAGCAGAGCCTTGACCTTCGGTCAAATGTCCACTAAAAATATTCTTAGAAAGCTTGGACATTTCGCCTCATCTCTCCGAGTTTCCCAAGGACAAATGATACCCTCTCACCAAGCTGGGGCAGGTGCCCCAGGACCAGGGGCACAGAAGATACCAGCACCCATTATCCTCAGGTGTTGCAGGAGAGGAAACTGAGGCCCAGAGAACGGAAGCCACTTGCCCAGGGCGTGAGAGGTAGACTAGGAGGCAGCAGAATTCCTGGAGCATAGGTTCCCTGGGCCCCCCCACAGGTTCCTCTCTGCATGACGGTGACATTATTCAAACAGTGCTTAGCACATCACAAACGCTCCATAAATTGTGTGTATGTGTGTGTGTGTCTATGTGTATCTGTGTGTGTCTGTGTTTTAAACCCACCGTGCAGCTGTGGGGAGCATTTGAATTAAATGGTAAGAAGTGTATCTGGAAATCCACATTACCAATATAACGTGAAGCAGTATTTTATTAAAACACGCTAGGGACACGTATAGGGTGAAATCTAAAATTCACAGACATTTAAAAGTTGCGGTTGACTTCAGACAATCCTCCTAGACTTCCAGACCCCGTGCCTTCCACCCTCCCTCCCCTGCACAGCCCACCCTGCCTGCAACCTTCATTCAGCAGCTTAGAATCCTTTGGAAGGTGAAGTTTACAGAGCACAGACTGCCCCTCTAGGAACCTCGGTTTCCTCGTCTGTAAAATGGCTATGGCAACAGGACGCATCTCGGAAGGTGGGGAAGGTTGGAGTCTTTAGATAGCCTGTGGGAAGGGTGTATTAATATTATTGGTGGTGGCTGCAGGGAGAAGCTTCTGCAAGTGTATGAACAGCAGCCTATATCCCAGTTTGGGTGGGAAGGGCCCCCCGCAGCACACACAGTTGGTTCCCTAAATGCACGCAGCAGGCCAATGCAGCGCAGGCTCCATACTTGGGTCTATGTCTCCTCCAGCCAGCAGCTTCATCTCTCTGCATCTCGGCTTTCCCCTCTGTGAAATGGGGCGACGCCAGCTCCTAACTCTCTGGGTTGTAGGCGAGTCAGCAAATACCTGCCCCTGGTTACAGCAGGGAACCGTACATCGTAGTTTCTTTAAAAAGGCAGTTGGTGGATTTAGACCTGCGTGCGGAGGGCCCGGAAGATGGGTGCATGATTTAGCTCCTGGCACTTTCCAGCACAATCTGGCTTTTTTTTTTTTTTTTTTTTTAAAGCACTCTCTCTACAGTTATTTCACTCTTCAGCATCTCTGCAACTGTCCCAGATATAGAAGCACAAAAGAGTTGACTGCCACCTATAAAACTAATGCCCACAGTTTGGAAGCCGCCATGCTGTCCATCTGTGGGGGACCAGTTTAGTAATCCTGGCACAGGCCGGGACACTATGCAGCTGAGTAAAACCAGCGGCTCCCAACTGGTGATGTCCCCAAGAGACAAGCGGGGGGACAGGAAGCTGTAGACCAGGCTCTCCCCCTTGGCACTGTGACACTGGGGCTGGATCACTCTCTGGGTTGGGGCGATCCAGGGCACTGCAGGGCGCTGAGCAGTGTCCATGGCCTCAACCCACTCCATGCCAGGAGCACCCCCTAATCGTGACAACCATAAATGTCAAACATGGCTGTGTCCCCTGGGGACAGAATCACCCCTGGCTGAGACCCCACTGCTGTAGACCCAGCAAGGAAACTCAAGATCTCATTTAGGGTTTTAAAGAGTACACATGTATTTATAAAAATATATACAGTGTCCATATATGTATATACATACACACACACACGTATATATATCCTTTGGCCGAGTGTAGTGGCTCACGCCTGTAATCCCAACACTTTGGGAGGCCGAGGCAGGCAGATCACTTCAGGTCAGGAGTTCAAAATCAGCCTGGCCAACATGGCAAAACCCTGTCTCTACTAAAAATACAAAAATTAGCCGGGCATGGTGGAGGGTGCCTGTAATGTCAGCCACACAGGAGGCTGAGACTGGAGAGTCGCTTGAACCCGGGAGGCGGAGGTTGCAGTGAGCTGGGATCATGCCATTGCACTCCAGCCTGGGCAACAGAGCGAGATTCTGTCTCAAAAAAAAAATATATATATACACACACACACACACACACACACTCTCTCACACACACACATATATCTCCTTTATGGAAATACACAAGTATTTCCACAAGTACATCCTTTATGGAAATATACACATATGCACATGTATCCTCTATAAGAATGTGTATTTCTCACTCCTGCAAATGCTCCAACTATAGATGGTAACATTCTGGAGTGAGTTCCACCCAGAAATGGGGGTGATCAGAAAGACTGGATTTTTTTCCTCTGGATATAGTTGTATTGTCTTCATATGATCACTAATGGCTTCAGTAATTAAAGGAAACTTTTAAAAAGTTGAATGCAATTCACAGAGCAGCTCAGGTAGGGTAGATAGGAACCCCAGCCCCCCATGGTAACCCCACAGCCACCACACCCAGAGAATAAAGGACATAAATCTTGCAGGCAAATGATTATACAGCAGTGCAGTGTGCACTCAGCCTCCGCCTGCCCCACACCTACTCAGCAAGGGGCTCACAATGTCAGCTCCCCGTGAACCTTGCAAGTGTCCCATATGGTCCCATTTTACAGATGAGAAACTGAGGCTGTAGAAAGGGATGTTAAGGTCAAGTGAGTTAAAAGTCAGATAGGCCATTGAGGCTGGTACAGATAAAGACACACACACCACACAGAGTCACACACGCCACACACTACAACCCACAGAGACACACAGACACACATTGTGCAGACTCAGTTGCAGACACAGACTTCACATGACACACACCTACACACATACAAAGACACAAACACACACACACAGATTCACACAAAAACAGACCCATACATACATGATCACAGCCTTCCCCACACCTGACCCTCAAATACCTCCTCAAAGAGGGGCGAGCAGAGACACACACACACACATACAGGCCCACATGGCACACACAGTCACAAATACACCCTCCCAACTCCCCACAGGACGCTTCTCTACAAGCACAACACAGGGACACAGCTGCCCCCACACAAGTGCAGACACAACCACAAACACGTGGGCACTTGTCCACAATCACACACACATTCCACACAAACCACACACTCTTACAAGCACACACACACCCACAAGTGGAACCCTCCTGGTATTCCCACACAGGCACACACAGAGTCACATATGCACCATCACAATGACACACAGCACGCCACCTCCCTGCTTCTCCCGAACCAGTTCTTCCCCGGGGCTGGGCTCTTGGCCGTGCAGAAGCGCGGTGGGGACAGGGAAGGGCAGGAGGGTGACATGTGGTTGTCCTCCCCCCGGCAAGTGTGGTGTTTGTGTCTGTGAGTGCGTCTGCCCGTGTGTGTCCGTGCACGCCTGCGTGTGTGACATCTGTCTCTAGACAGGCCTGTGTGTTTATGTGAGTCTCTGTGTGGTTGTGTGTGCATAGTCGTACAGACACAGGCACCGTGAGGGAGTGTCGTGGGTGTGTGTGTGTAATTATGACTGCAGGCACGTGTGTCCCACTGTGCACAGGACAGAAAATGGGGACAGAGGTGCATGCCGCATGCTGAAGGCCAGGGCGTCCCACTGTCCGTCCGGGAGTGCGGAGGGAGAGTGCTGAGTCTGAGGCTGGGAGTGGGTGTGGGGGATGGTGACGACCCAAGTGTGACCTTGAGTGCTGTGGGGGGAGGCCTCCGTGTCATTGTGGGATGAGTTTTCTCTTCTTCTTGAAATCCCAAACAGTCCCCCATGATGGGACATCAAGAAGAAAACGAGAGACACCCGCCTGGCCTTGGGTTTTTTATATTAAGAAAATTATATCAAACGGGGGGGGGGGGGGGGGGGGGGGGGGAGCGGCGGGGATTCCCCTGGAGGTGAGAAAACAGCTCTCTGTGCCCACAGCCTCTGGTCCATTGGGGGCAAGTGCTGGGGGCGGCACTGCGGGACTGGAGGACCAGTCCCGGCGTCCCTGGGCTCTCCCTAGCATAGGATAAGAGGGATCTCTTTAGCCACCCACCGGGCCCGTCCTAACCCCTGTTCTGCTGTAACCACCCACCCCTCGGGACTTCCACGGCCGCGCAGGGAGGGGGGAACCCCCGCCGCCCCGCCCCCCTCGGGGCAGGTCCCCGCGCAAGCGCAACCCCTGGCGAGCGACGTCTGCGCGGCGAGTGATCGCGTCCCGGCGCCACCTCGCGCCCGAACCTCCAGCCAGGACCCCCTGGGTCAAGAGGATGGGGGACCCCGAAAGCTGGGGGAAGTGGAGGGGACTTAGGGAGGAGGTAAAGGGACACAGTTTTGAAAATGTAGACGGAGCGCTCTTCCCCCGCCGCCCAGGCAGTCCCCAGTTACAGGATAAAAGGAACTGGGGGAGGCGAGGCCAGGGGTGGAAGGCAGACCCTTCCCTGGGTGGACACTCAGTGCCAGTCACTCGCACACAGCCAGCGGCACCCAACTGTCCCCTGGAACGCGGCCACTCGACAATTCTCCACTCCCTGGCGACCCCCCTCAACCGCCACACACCCACACGGGGACACCCCACGGTCACCCAGGGACACGCGGCCCCGCGGACACGCAGCCCAGCCATAGTTTCACGACACTGCCCCGCAGGGACGCGCGCACAGTCGCCCAGTTATCCAAAGACACAAGAGTGTCCCGCAGCTGCACAATGCGGGCGGCGCTCACAACACACGCCAGCACGTGGATGTGCAGACACACGCGGACACAGAAAGCGGAGGAACCGACGCGCCAGGACCCGCGGCCCCACGGCAGGTATGCGACCACCGAGTCGCGCGCACCCCGGACGCTCCCCCAGGCGCCAGTGCCGGCCCGTTACGGAGCGCAGGGGCTCCCACGCACCCCTAGAGGTGCGCACGACACAGACGCCAGTCGACCGGACACCGGAACCCCAAGTGCAGCCACCGCTGCTCCCGGGCCTGGGGCGCGCCCGGCCGAGTCCCGGGGGTCCCTCCCAGCTGGGGACCCCGTATGCACGGCAGCCGGGCCGGGGTCTGCCGAGGGGCGGGGCGGGGGCGGTGCGAGAGCAAGAGGGGCGGCTGCTCCTGCGCGGCGCCGAGCGCGGCCGCCCGCCCGGCTCCAAGTTCAAGGCGCCCGGCGGCGGCCGCGGCGCGCTCTCCGCCCCTCTCCGCAGCGGCCATTTTCCGCTAGCTGGCGCGCCGCGCTCGCCCGGGCCGGGGCACCCCGCGGGGGCCGCCGCGACCCCCGCCCCCCGCGCCGCCCCGCCGTGCGCCCCTTCCTTGGCCTGGGCTCCCCCATGGACTGCGCGCTCGGGGGTCGTGCGCCCAGGGCCGCGCCCTCCCGCCTGGGGTCTGGCCCGGGGAGGGGGCGGGGGCCCGGCCTGGGGTTGCTGGGGCCTTCTCCGGGGAGCCCCGCCCTCCCCGCCAACTCCGCGGCGCCCGCGAGGGGCTCCCCACTTGGGGTCTCTCGCGGCGCCCCGCGCGCCAGCTCCGCCCCCAGCCGGGGTCGGGGGGGATCGTGGGTAGGGGTCCCGTGGCGACGGGCTACTGGGGGTCCCCACCTTGAGCCCCTCCTCCAGGCGGCCCCCGCCCCCTGTCCCCCAGACCTTGCAACTTTCGCCCGGAGCCCACGCACCACCCCAAAAAGTCCCCGGGCGAAAACGAAAGTGGGTGCGGCGACGTACCATGGCGCTGCTGCGAGGAGGCGAGGCCGGCGCCGGAGCGAGCGCGCTCGGTCCCCGGCGAGGGGGGGCCGCAGGCGGCGGGAGGAGGCGGCGAGGGAGGGCGCGCGGGGGAGGGAGCGAGCGCGCCAGGGAGGGGGCGCGCCGCGCCCGCCCCCCCCGGCCCGCAGGACCCTCCCCTCGGCCCGCCCTCCCCCCGGTCCCGCGCGCCGCCCGCGCCTCAGGCTGCTCCGCGCCGCGGCTCCGGCTGTAGCGGCTCTGGCTGCGGCTCCATCCCCGGCCCGGCCCCCGCGAGGGGAGGCCCGGGGAACGGCGGCGGCGGCGGCGGTTGCAGGTCGAGGGGCCCCGGCCGGGCTCGCTGCGGAGCGAGCGGATCCACCTTCGCCGCTGCGCGCGCGCACACACACGCGCACACACACACTCGCGCGCAGGCGACTCGGGGACACCGGCGGGCCGGGCCTCCTCGACTCAGCCACGGACACATACACACCACACACGGACACGCGCAGAGATCCCCACGCGCGGCGCCTACAGCGTGTGACGGACACACAGCCCGTGGGTGTCCGCTGGGCACACGGGAACCCACGCTTGAAGCCGGTGAGGCATCTGGGACACACACCTTCTGCAGGAGGCCGACACAGACGCACACTCGCAGCCTGTGGGGCTGACACCCCGAGATCACACCGACGCACAGTCCCAGAAAGACACCCAGACCTCAGAGGGACCCACGCGCCGACCCCCAGGACCCCTCCCCCAGCCGCCCTGGCCGGTGACTGCAGGTGTCCGGGGGACACGCGGCTACACACACGCACAGCAGGGAAACGGGACAGACGGGGACACAGACAGAGACTCCGACACCGAGGGCGACAGACCTGGGGGCGGGGGTCCCCTGGGGGTCCCGCAGGGGCTCCAGGCGGGGGGCGGCAGGGGAGTGCTCGCAGCGGCCCCCGTAGGAAGTGGGGGCAGCGGGCGCCCCCTCCCCCTTTCAGGATTAATGACGAGGCCTCCGCAGCGGGGGAGGGGCCGGGCCGAGGTGGGTCAGCGCCCCCGCCCCTGCCGCGCGAGTCGCTGCGGGTTGGGACCGCCTGCCGCAGCGCCCCCCCAAGCGCTCTCCCG